ATATATATATATATATAAAGACATGTTTTCGTTGTATAGTTGAAGACATTTTCTGTTTACTTATTTTCGATATGATCCTTTCATACTTCCGTGTATGCATTTTGGTGCCATTATTGAAAGACGAGAGAAAATCTCCGTGTTGCTATATATTCCTTTTATTTCCAAGTTCTTTCGACATATATCCCTGTCATCAGGGTATTGTATATTACAAAATAATTATTGTCGTATTTGAGACAAATTGTTGCGCTATTTGAAAGTTAAATTTCTTACAAATGGAGTGATTTTACTCGTCCCTCAATAATGACACCAAAACGTTTATCCGCGAGTTTGAAAAGATTTTATCGAAAATAAGTATACATGTCTAAACTATACTAGGAAACATGTCTTAATAAAACATACAGCCGAAATATATATATATATATATATATATATATATATATATATATATAGATATATATAATGAAAAATTTTGAAAAAAACAAACAAAAATCCTTAAATGTAGTTAAAATGAAAGAAATGTCGACGTCTGACGTTTCGGTTTAATAAACCTTTTCAAGACAATATTCATCAAAATACAATTCAGTTCAATATGACAAATACGATGGACATAAAACACAAGTCTTATTCAGAACAGATAACTGAAAAATTTTAAAATGATCAGCCTTCCGTCTAACATGGTCACGCCGTCGTCACATGGGCGACGCTTTCATAACAATATTTAAAAGTTTGTGATTATTTAAAAAATGAAAAAGAAAATGAAAAATTTATTAGGAATAAAAGACTTATGTTTTTTTATGTCCATCGTATTCGTCATCAATCTCTGAATTGTATTTTGATGAATATTGTCTTGAAAAAGGTTTATTAAACCGAAACGTCAGACGTCGACATTTCATTTTTTTACATTTAAGGATTTTGTTTGTTTTTTCAAAATTTTTCATTCTTTCGGATTTATATCCATTTACACTTGCTTATATATATATATATATATATATATATATATATATATAAGTAACGAATAAAAAACATTTTTAAATTTATCATGTTTCGCATTTATTTAAACTTCATCAGAAATGATATATGGCGGAGAAGAGAAAATTCTTGATTTTTTTTTGTTTTGTTTGTTTTTCACCCCAATATATCACCACGACCACATTTCTTCTCAAGCAACTTACAATTTCTACTACTTCTATGCAACATAGAATCCAAAACATAAGGAACATATTAACAATGAAACCCTTAAAAATGACTACTGGATCGTCCGAAACCTTTTGGGAGAATAATCATTACGTACAGTTTCTACACCCTCTTATCCCAGGATTCCTTTCACATGTACAAGAACATTTATGTTCGAATTTTATATTTTAACATTTCAAGGGGCAAAGCAGAGTACTAAGAAATAGAAAAAAATTGCCAGAAACAAAGAAAAGAGTACTAAAATGCCATGTGACATCCATCCTCCTGTATAGCAGTGAGGGCTGGACGACCTCCTCGAAGATGAATTGGAGACTTGAAGCAGTCCAAACAATGTAAATTATGTAAGTAATTACTATACCTTTTCTCAGAAATATAGACATATATTCAGACGGTTAATGTAGCATGTTAATTTTGTTGCCTAGTACAAAACTATCTGTTGTAATAAGCCGATTATCTGTATTAGATACGTTGACGACAGTTAGTAGAAGGATGACAAACCATTCAAGTGATCTCGGTGCCATGGTAATGCATGTGGACACCTTCTGACAACTGCCTGCTTCCATTAGAAAAAAAATCTTGTTGATAAGACCTTCATTCTAAAGAAAGATAATTGTCGACGACGTGTTAAAGATAATGTAAGCTTTTTATATGAAACAATTCAAATCATGCCTCAACCTAACCGTATTTGACAATGGTAGCAACGTGTAGTTTGTGTTCTTTTAAAATACATCCCAGTCTAGCATCACAGACATATTTCTTCCCGCGCAACTTCGAATTTCTACTACTCTTACACAATACAACATAGAACATAGATATAGAAAACATATTAACAAGGAAACCCTTGAAAATAACTACTGGATTATATTTTGGAATTATAATAATTATGGATAGTTTCTACACCTTAGCCCTGGACTCCTTTCACATGTAGTTATGCAGTAAATATACCTAAGTACTAAGTACTAAGATTTTCATCAGAAATGGCTTAATTCATTAAAATTATTTTTTAATATTTTTACTTTATGTTTTGTATAGTTAAATAAGAATGTGAGAATGACGAGGGCAAACAGTTTGAACATTTGAGGGATTATAGGTTTATTATTTATATGTTTATTATCGATCTGTTATTATTGATATCTTTGTATAGTCAATACAATAAATTTAGTGCGTACGTTTTGTTTTAGTAAGAGGAAGAGCCCGAAATGCGATTTGCAGCTCGGGAACGCTAGAATCAAGCAGACGCAGCAGTTTAAATATCTGGGAAGCGTCTTAACAGAGGACGGTAAGTGTGACACTAAGATCCGTAGATGTATCGGAATGGCCAAGGGCACATTCCGAAAGCTGGGCAGAGTATTGCGAGGCAGGAGTACTTCTTTTGGTAACAAAGAAAATAATACCGAGCTGTTACGTGACATCTGCTCTTCTTTACGACAGCGAATGTTGGACGATCTTCTCAAAGATGAAGAAGAGACTCGAGGCAACAGGATATCATGGGCCGAGCGTGTGAGCAATGATGAGGTCTTAGAGAGGTTGCAAACATGGAGGACGCTTATACTTAACATCAGGAAGAGGTAGCTGAAGTTTCTTGAAGACTTAATGAGGATGGAGGCCCTGGCAAATCTGATACTCACGGGTCGAATAGAGGAAAAGATAGACAAGGGAAAGCAGCGCGTGATATACCTGTCGAGTCTGAGTGTAGGACAGAACATGGTCTGGGGAAGGAACCAGAGGGAAGGATCTTGCTGAGAGCTGTAAGGGATAGAAGGCGGTGGAGAGCCATAATCGCCTATATCCTGAAAGGACATGGCACATATAAAGAAAGAATACTTATTTTTGCATGTATTTTGCTGTGTAAAATGCAAGTTTCTATATGATTTTTCTTTCAACATTTAGCAATTTTATATATATATATATATATATATATATATATATATATATATATATATATATATATCAAGGGTACCAGGTTAATATAAATTAACCTGGCACAGACCATTATAATATTAATATTTGCCATTTCTTCTTTTGTGTAGAAGTGCATATATTTGAAACTTGTTTTCATCATTTTACCCCAAGCAAGACAATAAAGCTACTAAGACGCAAGGTGGTTACTGAGTGTTAGAGAATATAAGAAAAAACAAAACAATATTAAGAAGAAAGAACAATAAAAGAACGGGAATTAGGAAGACAGAAGTTAATGATTGACATTGCATTTACATTTTTGAAGATGAAAGTTGAGCGGAAAGCAAGACGCCGGAAAAGAGTTCCACAAGCGAGAACTGCGATAGAAGAAGCTGCTAGCATAGAACTTACTGTTACAGCTAGCCAGTTCAACTGTAAAATGATTAGACCTTTCCGCCAATCTAGTACTGCGCTTAAATTCATAAAGGAATGGACTTAGTCCGAGCACATTCATGGAAGCAGCGACAGAACAGAGAGAGATTTACCATATTCCACCTGAGGTGGCCGGTTTGAAAATAATTCTTCTCCAACAGGGTTTGTAGCGTCGTGTCTGCTTGAAAGACATTGTTGGGCCGCGTAAATGCTTTTGAAAACTGTCGAGGCTGGAAAGAGAGAATTCATATTATTGTTCACCCTAGAGCCACTCAAGGTAGAGTTTTACTGAACGAGGTTGACGAGCCGTAAGGAAAGGATTAAGCAGCTCATATTATGAGGATATGCAGAATAGATAACGCTTGATCCTAATCTTGAAGCGGTTAAGATAGTAATAATATGAGAAACATCCTCACGGGAGTTTGAATGGAACTTTCTCCTTACTAATGGAATATGAAGAGGGTCAGGATGAGTTGATTCTGTGTAGTTGGCATGGTGGGTCCTAGCTGTGGGGGTTTCGACTGGTGGGAGCAGGAAATGTAGCTCGCTGGAACTATAGGTAAATTAGCGAGGGGCTAGCGATGTTTCGTTTGCTGGGAGGGTGTTGTATGACAGAAAATAATACATCACCTAGAAAGCCGCGTAAATGCTTTTGAATTCTGTCGAGGCGGGAAAGATATAATTGGGCAGATCCAGCTGAGATGTGTCATTGATACTCCAATATTTTAGTCGCATCTTGTAAAGATGGAACATGGCTGGTGGATTAAGGTAACGTCTAGAGAGGTAGAAGGAGCGGACAAATTTTTAAGGGCGTCTTTAGCGATGGATCGTATACAAGTGAAATTCAGCAGTATCATTATCGGTCTTTATCAGGGGTCTTGTTTTACATTGAATAACTTTCCTAAGAAGAAATGTAAAAAAAAAAAAAAACAAAAACTCCAAAAATAAACTTGAAAAAAAAAAAAAAAAAAACAAAAAAAAAACGGTGAGATTTTTGTCGGTTAAAAGACACCTTCAAAAGATTTCTGTATTTTTAATCAGAAGGATTAAAGTTAACGAAGATAGCCTAAATTCGTCGAGTTTTTTCTTGTTTCTTTCAGAGGGGACATTTCGGAACAAGTGCGAATTGTTAATCATGGTACTGACACTCTTGGATGTTCGCTAATCCGCAGTTTATTTCCGCAAAGAAGGCGATGATCCTTCGTCTTTGTCTATTTAATGTACCTTCTTGGATTCTTTCTGAGTTTTTGTTCTTCATTTCTTTCATTTTTTTCTCTCTCTACAGATTTATTCACTGTTATCAGTTCTTCCATTTGATATGTTAACTATGTTTTAAGTTTAAATGGATTCGAGTCTTAGAGACTTAAGTTTTTTTTTGCAGGGATTTGTTATTTTCACGGAGATTTGCTCATTTAAATCGTGCTTAAACGATTGGTGTCTTTCGTCTTTGACAATCCTTTTATGTGGAATATGAC